AAGAAACAAACTAGTTTCTTCCTGAAGTAATAATGTGGTTTTTCTGCTTTGGGCGTCGCAGGTGCACAAAGTCATACTTAATGTTTTATAAGCTTAGACTCGGCAATTTACAAGCTTGAGGCCGAGAGTGGAGAACCATTCCCTAAACAACCTTCCAAATGTATGCCCTCTCCAGCTTCTGCTCATTTCTTAACCTTCTCTCTTGCTCCTGTGAGACAGACCAGAGGATAGACCACGCCAAAGTCCCATTTTCTCCTACCCCCAGAACTACCTTTCTTACTAATTTCCAGTGAGGAATTAAATGTCAGGGCCTGAAATCTTGTCAATCCTTAAGATTTTTTTTCTGTTCTGTGGCTGCACATGCAAGGGGGACACAGAGACTGAGCCGGGTGTAACAGATGTGAAACATTCCCTCACCTCATCTCCAGGCAGTCCCAAGGATCCTCCCTCTGGATTTTGGTGGTGATTAGGTGGCACCAGGAACTCCCTGGGAATGGGTGCCTGTACTGGGATACTGAAAAACCTTTCAGAGAAGGTGCTGTGTAACCCAAGGAGCTCCTTTTGAGTTCTGCAGAGCGTGAGAGCCATCTGGTGCTGGAAGCCTGAACTTGAGACCGGAGCCAACCCAGTCTGAGCCGTGAGCTTGATTGCTCTGACAAGGGCTGGTAACGGCTTCTTTTGTGCCATAACTCCTGTGCACACTTGTATCTGAGTGTATTTCCCTGTATGCATTCCTTTTGGAAGGACACTGGTGTGCAGAATTCCCTAGGTGTCATTGATTGTCACATCTATTGTCACTCGCTGTGTTTTAGGTACTTGAAAGTTCCACATTTTGGAAACTATAAAACTGTCTCCAAACATCTTATCTTAGCAAAGCACGACACACAGCAGATCTGTAATTAATGAAAATAAATTAGTGGACAGGAAGTTCCATGGAGACATGGAACATGTTGTGACTTTCTAAAGTTTAGAAAATAAGGGAGTCGTGACTAAACAAGGAATACATTATTTCAGCACTTGCTGTTCTCTGCTTACCCATCTGCACTCCATGGTTATAACCCATGATTAAAATATGTGTGTTCAAGAGAGCTAATAATGCTGCTGCCATATTATAAAGGTAAATTTGGTATTATTTGTGGTAAATTAATGACTGACAGATAAAGGACCATGGAAGAATCTCAGGAGTAGATCAGTGCAGAGTTTGAACATTGGCCCATAAATGAGGTGTAAGTCCAGAGATTGGATAAAGGAAAGAAAACAAGTATTGCTGAACTGACAAGGAATATAATACTGCACTGAAGGATTGAATGTCAAATAGCATGAGATCTGTAACCATCTCATAACTTTTAAAATCCAAGGTGGCATTGTACAGACATCCTTATTTCTAGCACTTCCAACCTTCTCTGTACCTGCCAAGAGTCATAAAGAACCAGGCCTTGGTATGGAAGGTGCAGACAGAGAGACAGGAATGAAAATCATCTGAATAAAGATAAGCCTAACAACTCTCACAGGCTGGACTGCAGTTCATGTGGTCTCACCCAAACTACCTTCAGGCCAGCCTGCTCCAGCCCAGGTAACAGCACAGCCATGGTGGAACACCCGGGGATTAACTGCTCCAATATTCTCCAGCTTTTCCCATGGCTTTTGAGCACACACCGACTGCTGGACTGGCTTCAGCTCCCAACCTGTGAGCTGCTAAGCCACATCTTGAGAGCAGAAACCAAAATGAATCCCCAGCTTCACATCGTGCCCTTGCATAACCGAGGCAAATCCTGAAATCCTCGAACAGTGGAACATTTGCAACTCTATCACATTATTTACTCCAGGAAGAATTTCTTTGAAGAGCAAATTGCTACTACCTGCAATAGGAAAAATGAACCAGATAAACTCTCTGTTGTGCCAACAGAACATGAAGAAATATAATTTCATTTTGCTGATAGGGACTGGAGAAGGAGCATTCACAAGTAGCGACTTGTTGCTGCAGAAATCTGCACCGGCCCACCTGTCACCATATTTAATTTAACCCACCACCTTCTTCCTACTCACAGTTTGCCTGGGAGAGAACAGACATTACCAACCTCTCTCCACAGCTGTGCATACATGGATATCACAGGTGCAGGGGGGTTGCACGTCAAACATTTTCCAATGCCTCAGCACTGCGTGCCCAGCAGGGCTGCCATGCAATGGCAATTATCTTGGCATCTGTGGTTACCAAAGCTGGATCTGTCCTAATAACAATATAACAACTGAGCTCAGATTTTTCTTTTCCCTCCTGTTTTTGAAATTATTTTGGCAGCTTCCATGCTGTTTACATATTATCTCCCCAAAATCCAAGTAAGCAAGTTGAAGTAGTGAAGGTATTTTCACTCTCCGGGGGTGTTGGGGGGCACTTCCTTGTGCTGCCATGGTGATTTTGGGGGATTTTGCTCTCTGGGGGCATGGGTGTGCACACTGCTGATTACTCACACATTGCCTGCTTTAGAATGTTTTTTTGATATGGTGAGTTTTTATTCTTTGACACATGAAGAGAACATAAATTCTTACAATGCAAGAAGAGAACAGCAAAGCAAGCTTACAAAATAAAGAATAAAAACACATGATGTTGCTAAGTTATAGCAGTAAAAATCAGAACTGAGCAGACCATGCTAACATCAGAATTTCTTGCCTAGATTCTAATGTACAAATAACTAGTAAATAGTTAATTGAGTCATGCTTTCTTGCATAGCAGTATGAAAGAAAATATTTTAATAGCCTTTTATAAATTCTACAGTGTGGTTCAGTACTGTACTTGATGATGGAAAAGAGAAAATGCCATATCCAAAAAATTCCATTGTGCAGTGGAAGCCTTTTTCCACGTGGTGCCAGGTGACTCTTACATTGTTGTCCTCCAAGCGTTTCTTGAACAACAGCCCATCATCCCGGAGCACATCGTGCCCACAGGTGACAATACAGGTGTCAGGGAGCTGACAAACAACAGCATCCTCTGCCAGCAGTGGGGAAAACCTGCACTCAAACAGCTCTGGGACTTCTTCGTGGACTCGGGGTAGAAATGAAGCGGGTGGCGGTGGTTTATAGCCCACTTTAAACACCTCGGGGATAAGATCGGGGTTTATCCATTTCCTGTATTTCAAATTCATACTCTCAGGAACATGAGAACCTGCCAAAATGGGTTCCTCCAGGGAGCAATCCTTACCCAGGTACTTGAGGATGTAGCGGACCGTGCGCTCCCGGGACAGGAGGGCAGTGAAAGCATTTTTCTGGTAAGAGGGTAGACTGAAGTTCAGGGCTTGGAGAAAGGGATAGATGAGCACCTGGGCACAGATCTTTGGGAGATCTGTCCTGGGCACCAGTTCCTGGCAAACACTGGCAGCGTATGTGCCCCCTACACTACTCCCACAAACAATAACCCGAGCGGGATCCACCCCGTAGGCGTGTGCAGTCTGCAAGAAGTGCACAGTAGCTCTGAGACATTCCAGACTTTGGGCTGGATACTTGTACTCAGGCGATAAATGATACCTGAAAGGTAGAAAATACAGCTGGTGTTACACATTGTTAAGAGTCTCATCCTAAATACATCCCATGCAGTTGCAAAAACTCCCCCAAACCAGTATTACTTACCTAGTTTAAAGTTTCACGTGCTGAAGCAAACCAGAACAGCTTCCCCTCCCTTTCCTTCTCAAAACTAATTCCTCCCAACTTAATAAAATCCTTTAGTAATGAATCTTTTCATGGAAGAATTTGTTGGAAACTAAAGTTTCTTTCTACCACCAGCTATTTCCCACCAGCAAAACATCTTTAAAAGGCAGCAGTGGTCCATGCTGGTTTTAAAAGATCTTGGACTCATTATTTACTCCTTAAAATCACCCCCAGGTGATTTTAAATATCACCCTTAAATATTAAAACCTGGCATTGGCCTTATAATTCCTTATTATCAAACGAAGGCAATGATTTTTGTGGTGATAGCAATGTAAAACAAAAAAATCTCTTTGTTCTTCTGAAAAGAGCTGGCAAACAAATTCCTTCTGGAACTCTGCCTCTGGATCAGGTATTTCCCATTGCCATCCCATGGCATGTGCTTGCTCCCACATATCAGCAGTGTGGGGTGGACAACACAGTTTCTGTTCTTATATTCAAAGAAATGTAAGTTCAGGGCTGTGTGGGAAGCAGGGGGAAAGCAGCAGAGTTCTCCAATTCTGGGATTAGCACTGGGAGGAGCTCACTTACCCAACAGACACAACCACTGAATCAGATTTTTTGGCTATGTACCGGCAGATTCTTTCGTGACTTCCTGAAGAAGAAATGTTGTTGATGTAATTAATATCTTAGAAAACTTCAGTCAGCATCATCCCGTATTTTCTTATGACTTATTGCCATGAGGGAGTGTGGGCCACATGCCTATTTAGGGAGTACCCAAATTGTTGCTAGGATAAAAATAATCCAGACCTTTGGTCATCAGCACATACTGTGAGGTTCATATATTCAGGGAGAGTGTTGATCTATGAGGAAAAGGAATTATCATTATTACTATTACAGAATGAGCAATGGTTTTAAACTGAGAGAGGTCAGAAATCAGTTTGGATGTAAGGAAAGACATTTTTTACAATGAAGGTGGGGAGGCCCTGGCACAGGTTGCCCACAGGAGCTGTGGCTGCCCCATCCCTGGAAGTGTCCAAGGCCAGGTTGAAGGGGGCTTGGAGCAACCTGGGCTAGTGGAAGGTGTCCCTGTCCATGGCAGGGGGTGGAACAAGATGATCTTTAGGGTACTTTCCAACCCAAACCATTTTTTGATCCTATGGTTCTATGATAAAAAGTGCTATATCCTATAAAAATAATTTAAATTCTAAGTAAGTGCAGATTAGAGAGTTTAAAAAGGCAGAATAAACATTAAGTGCTTTCTACCTCTCACTCTCTCAAATTAAGCTTCGGTCACTTCTTTGGTTCAGGAGAGTTTTTAAAAATATGCAGTTAACAATCCTAAATAACCATATTTTCTCTTTCAGTTCCTTACTGATGCTTCCGAAAATCCCGCATCCTCCATGGAAGAGGATGACTCCCCTCCGTTTGCCTGCAGATGGTTCTCTTGGGAGGTAAATCCTCACGGGCACCCCATCAAAATGCAGATCTTTAGTGAAGAGCAGGGAATCCCCCAACGCTGGCAGCCCATCCGTGACCAGCCTGAGCAGTGTGTGCTCCTCAACGACACCCAGACGGCTCAAGTTCTTTGCCTGGATAGATACAGCAGGAAAAATGAGAAATTAATACAGGGAATACAAGTCTTCCCACTCTATAAAGGCCACAACTTAACCTTTTTCTATACTATATTTAGGATAATTGTGTTGGTTATTTGTTCCTTTATAGGATTCCCACAAATAACTCAAATGGCTTTGGGATTTTAGTTAAGGAAATGAAAATGCACATATTCGTGGTTTCTGGAAGAATGTCCTAATACTTGTTCAATTAAATGTATTATATAAATGCCTTCTAATTGCTGTGACCTGCATTTACCACAAGTAACAACAGGCATTTGCTGAGGTATGGAAGCTGGGATTTTCCTGCAGGCTTTCTTTTGACATGTTACCTGCAGGATGTGACAGGGCTTAGGCTGCTTCTGTGAGTCTGGTTTACAGGTACTTAAATAAAAAGTAATAACAGACATAGCTGAACCAGGAGGTTCCATTAGATGACTTCTGGAGGTGTCTTCCAACCCACCTGATTGTAGAACTAAAACTCAGTTTTAGTATCTAACTAAAACTCAGTAATTCAGTCACTGCAGAATAAGAACAGAATGATGGGTAAAAAAATTACTGCAGCTAATTCAAAATTTAGGAAACTGCCTTACATATATCAGACTGCACTGAGATACAGAAACTCTGGTTACTATTATTCATGTAAATTATATCTACAGCCCTCTAATCATTTCATTATAGAAGGCAATCAAATAACAATTGTGACATAAGAATGGATATCTCAGTATTTAAAAGAACTCGTTCATACTGGCTGCTTTTACATCAGTAATAGAACACCAAGTCAACTTTTGGCCTTTATCTTTAAACCTGTGTTACTGTGTGGCTCCCACTACAGGTAGCTGCAATATTTACATGCATATCTTCATTCTCCAGCTTTTCCTTTCCTGAAAATCCCAGTATCACAGAGCATGATCAACTCACCAGAATTTCCATCAGAGCGTACACACAGTGACAAAAACGGAGCTTTGATGGCCGGTCAGCATCAGGAGGAATCTCTACCTTGAAGTAATTATAATCTGTTACAATTAAAACCAGTAGCACAAAAACAACCAGAATTCCTGCTATTAAAACCAGAGTATAATAGGATTCCATTGTTCTTTGGTGGGAATAATTTGTTAGACACTGATCTGCCTCTGCCTGTATTTATATCCTCCAGACTGGTTCCACAGAGGAGTAATTTGCACCCCAAGTTCCCTCCACCCTCCTCCTCCACACAGGGCTCCAGGTGCTCACAAACATCCAGCTGTGACAACTGCAGTTGGCATGGTCATGGTTCACGTGAGGAGAATCACTTCCAGGAAGTGTTATTACTCTGCATATTCCAAATATTCCAAATGGACTTTATTTTTTATCTGGTCTAATTGCATTCTGCTTTATGAATAGCTCTCTGTGACTTTTTGCACAGTGTAATGATAACAGCCCTACTCCAGAGCCCAGGGAAGAGTGGCTGAGCTGGACTCCAGCCTCCATGCTCAGGAACTGTAGTGGTTCTGCTCTTGGAGTAGGTCTGAAGGATGGTTTGAAGGCTTTTTGCTCAGTGCTGATCTCTCTCCCCTGCTCTCCTGCAGAGGCAGACAGCTGGCCACAACAGCTAGAACAGACATTCTGAACTCTATCTAGGACTCAGCCACTTAGAAGCTGTAAAAGTCCAAGGAATTTTGCTTTTGGAGATCCATCCAGAGCTGTCAGTTATTTGGCAGCTCCCTCCCTCAGTGTTCAGGAAGGGTCTTTGGGCTCACCAATGGTCCAGTGACAGCAGAGAGAAACTTCCCCTTGGCTTGGAGAACTTTGGCCCTGACCCTCTGTGCTGATTCTGTCTGCAGACAGGATTTTGATGGCTTAACAACTCCAGATTTTGGTATTTTTTTTCCAAGACAACTCTACATTGTCCATTGTTGTAACTCAGGGGTGATCAGACCACACTGTACCCGAATGCTTGGACCAAAGGAGGTGATGACAGTGAAGGAATGAGTGACCAGGTGCAACTCCAGGTATTTCTGTCCACCATGTGACTGCACCAGACTTGCTTGGGTAACATTACAAAGCTAACAACAATCTGCTCAGCTTGACATAAGCAATACAATCTACACTTATCCCCTGAACACTCTGAAATATTCCTTTATCCCCACTAATCTCCCAGACACCCTTATAAAAGCTTGTAATCGTGGTCATAGAAGAGAAATACTCCACTTTATTCTTCATTTGGCTAACCAGGGATCTTGACTAAAAAAAAGGTGAGTCCTTTCTAGCTTTTCTTATACACTTTAAAAGAGCAGAAAAAATATATCTGCTTAGAAAAATCCCATTTATGCAAAACATGCATTACAGGAAAGAGCAAGAAACTTCAAGGTGAACTAGTTAGTGGGGTAAAATAACATTTAGCTGTGTGGAATGAGTAAACAAGATGAGTCATAAGACATAAATTACCAGATGATAAGAGTGACAAGACTGGATTCTTAAGAGAAGAGGTGTGATCCTTAACTTCAGAGGAGCAACTACAGCTGATGGAATTAAAAGAGAGAGAGAGCAAGAAGCTATTAAGGTAGGAAGAGCATGAAATCCATGTAAGTTATAACATGGAACTCTCAGCTTAACTCAGCAGGCCTGGACCTTGTAATCACAATAGTAATCTTTGAAATACTGACTCAAATCATTCAACCAAGCTGGGGAACAACTGATCTCTTCCATCACTGTGAGGTGCAGGACACTTCACTGAGCCCCTCCCAACTCCCTATTCCATCCCAACCTTTGAGGGTACATCAACTAGAATGATTTTAAAAAACCCCAAACCAAAGCAAAAAAAGACCAAAAAACCCAACATAAATTAAAGCAAAATTTAAGGCTACTTATATATTCTGAGAAGGAATATCTAAATTGGGGTTTATTGAATTTAATGCAATCTTCTTTCCCCACATCAATTCATACACCTGATCCATCCCAGCCTCCCAGCCAAAAATGTTTGCCTTTGACAGCAGCATTCTCTTCCTAACACTGCTCCTCTTTTTTGGCTTCCTTTGTAGAACTGTCAAGTTTGAAGAGCCTTAGGACAGTCAGAGGCCCTGAATTATTTCACCTCGGTACGTACTAGTGAGCCACTGGCTCTGAAAAGAAATTATAGCTGCATGTAAGGAATTGTTTTAAAAAGACATTGTTAGAAAGAATTCAGGGAACATTTTATCCTGAGATTTCTTTCCTAAGCTCATTTAAAAGTTTCCAGTGCAAACTTGTTACAGGCATTAGCCTGCTGTTCAGTTTTTGTCAAAATCCATGTCACATTGGTTTAGGAGGATTTCAGGATTTTTCTCTAATTTTGAGGGCCTTAAGGACATAATTCTTGTGCCTCCCCAGTTCCTTGTGTGTCTTAGAAGTTTTGCCAGGACTGAGGAATTAGTCAGAGGGGATGGGTAAATATTGACTGGTATAAAAGTGAGGTAAATGCACGGAAGAGAAGGTGAGTCCATCAGTTTAACAACTGCAGTCACTCCATTCCTGTTCATATGTGGCATTTTTTCACTGTTCTCTCTTCCAATACAAAGAAGCAGCCTAACAGACTGAGACAGATTTGGCTTCTAATTAGAGATAGGTGAGGAAAAAGAAGAGCACTTAGTACAAATGACAAACTCTAACATGTACTAAAGCAACGAGCAAGTGAAGCAAGTACCAGATCCGTGATGCTGCATCCCTTTGAATTCCAGACAGCACCTACGTGCACTCTGAAAACTTCTGCTTACAGACAATTATATTTACACATCCTGAATCTAAAAAAGGGATGTCATCCAGAATTTAGAATTATTCAGTCATCTTTGTTCATGACACTGCTCGGTGTGAGACTCTGGGAAAGCAGGAAAACATCCAAATGCAGCTTTTCGCACAGGACTGAACGCAGAGGCTTTGCTGTCAGGGCTGGAAGTTAACCAGAAACCTGGGGCCTGGGAGCTTAGTCCGTGGCAAAACTCCACTTACGAGGCAACAGTATCAGACTCTTAATATTTAAGAGCATATAGAAGGACAGTGTGAAATCACAGAACCACTGGGACACGTTTCAAATGGAAAATGTGAACTCAAGGGAGGAATGAAATCAAGAAGCACAAAAATTTAGCTCTTGATTTATCCGAATCTGACAGCAGGGCTTCATCTAACACAAAACAGATCAGCTTGGCAAAAGGTTTTCCTTTTTTAAAGGAGGTTTAGGTTTATTCTGTGATCATGATAGATTGTCCATGATCAAGAACCCTGCATTGATGTAAAAAACTGGTATTACTTGACACCACAGTCACACAGACTTTCCATAGTGTAACCGCTCCTCTGCGCTCCCAGGTTTTCACATTCTTTGCCAATGTACTGTATATATTTGGGTGGGTTTTTTTAAGTTGAAAACACAGAACTGTTAGCCCAAATGGCTTTCAGACATGCCTTGAGCATGGTTTTAATTTCCAGCTCTTTTTCCTTTCAAAAGTTCTCGCAGTTTAGCGACTTCATTTGCACAAACAGCCTTCCAGGGCTGGCAGGAACTTGGCTGCAAAGGCTCTGTGAACAGAGTCAGAGCTCTGCCAATAAATAGAGGTGCAATATAGAGGTGTATATGGAGAGTGTATCAACTTGTTTTGGAAGTAAATGTTGCTTTTTCATTTTGCTGTTTTTTCCTTCAAGACAGGGCAAGTCAGAAAAAGTCAGATTCTATGATTCTCACTGAGAGTATGAGTAAATCTACACTAACTACAGTCCAAAAGCTGTACAAGTACAAACCCAGAAATTTAAACAGACAAGTATCTTTTTACTCCCACTCCAAATTTGGTAGCAACTTTGTACATAGGTCAAAGTCATAATGAATAATAAAAAACCCACTTCCAACACATATTTAGATTATTATTATTCAAGCTGGAAACGGATACATGAAAACAATATTCACAAGATTATTCCATTCCCACTGGCTTCAAAGGAACTGCAAATGTTTTACATTAATAATGAATTTCCCTTTAAATCCAAACAGGTTAACTGTGTAATATTGCTGAGTTTTCTACTTTAAATGTGTCTGTGGTCTCTTTAGAGAGACTGAACTTAGGAATCAAAAAAAATCAAATGTACTTTGATGGAGTTCATATCCTTTCATTTTCAACACTGCTCCTTATTTCCGCACCAGAAAGTTGTTATATTTGTTCCCAGTCCAGACACTGAGTCATTCCTGTTTAAACCAGACACTGGGCTCTGGGTAATTTCTCTCTCCCCTTCAGAGTTTTTGGACTGAGAGGAAAGTTGTAATGCCAGGTGCCTCCCTAAGCTCCATTTCTAAAGGTATTACTGTAAAAACGCACCGAGGTGCTAAATGCTGCCAAGGGCCATGGAAATCCTCTGAGCTCTGCTTATTTCAGAGGCAGCTCAGTTAGGGAACACTCACTGACTCTGACAGTATGGAGAGACCTGGAGTTTCCAGTTAGAAAGCTTCATCTTCTTTCTCCAAAAGCCTCTCTCCTGACACTCTGTGGTGATGCAGTGACAGTCAGATGGCTTATTTCACATGAGGTAACCTGGCAGTTAAAGGTAAGAACTCTGCAAGTCTCTCTCTCAATTTTATTTCCTTTTTTTTTCCTTAAAATGTTCGTGTAACTTAACGGAGCTGAAATTCAAGGATTTAGACATTATTCATATTTTGTGTTTAAAAACGTTTGTGTGATAAAGCTGTTGAACATGGGGGGGGTACCAGAAACTCGGCTGCTCTTCTTTCTGCAAACAACCAACCCCTGAACACTTTGTTCCCATTCGGCCACTTTGAACAATGCCTGCTCCCAAAAATACCTGTTTGATTCCAAAGCATAAAATTGAGTTTATTTTCAAAGGGACTCCGCTTCCAAACTCACCTCTATTGGTTGTGTAATATAACTTGTATAGATGCTTAGACTCACACTCCCACTGAGGTAGTTTTTTAGAACTACAGACATAAAGGTTCGACAAAGTCTTTACATTTGTCACTTTTTTCTCAATTCCAATGTGTACCACTAGATGGCTTCCCAGGATAGTGCATCTGGATCCAGACCTGAGTGAACGTGTGGGACTGGATTCATTTTGGCACATTCCTAATGATATATGCAGATATAAACACCAAGTTCCTTCCAGCTCAGCTCTGAAGAAAACACTGTGAGGTTTGACATCCTTGAGAACTCCTGACATCCCCAAAGCTTTGCATTTTAGGTTATTTTATTTCTGATTGCTGCCACAGCTCCTGACTGGGCATGAGCAGCTCTCAGGTGCAATGTGCAGTTGGAGCCTCCTCAGAAAAGCTTCATCTGTACAGCTGAAAACTTGACTTACCTTCCTAATGCTTGACAGTGCAAACAGCCAGGCTGGGGGGCCCAGCTGCAACACACTTTGCCCTTTCTCCTGTTATAGTTTAAAGTGCTATGGAGACCCTCTGGTGTTGCAACTGTGCCCTCATCACTGGACAAAAAAGTCTTGGAAAGGGAGAGAGAAGAAACCACCCTTTATTGTGAGAAGTGAGTCTCCCTCTGTCATTTGGAGCCTCCCTTTTTCACTGCCCACCACGAAATCACCAGCTTTCAACAATGCAAACATCTTCCAGCACGGAAAATCCATGAGGTGTCATATTGGCCATAAAATAACTGGTCCAGGGGTACTTAGATGATGACTATCAGCCTAGGCTGGGTTCAGGCTGCCAATCTAGGGCTGAAAGTAGCCTTTCCCTCCATGCCAGCTCATTTTAGGCAAGCAGTTCCCAGCCAGAGCTCCATGGTGCAGAGATGGTTCCTGTGAACTCAGCCTTAACCCTGCCTGTTCCTGGACCTGCTTTTCCCTGGGCTCGGGTCAGACCACAGCACCTTCTTTCTGGGCGAGGGAGGAGGCAGGGGCTGCCCAGCTCGGTGACAGAGCACTTTGGTTGCAATGTGGCACGAGCCCAGACTGGCACAGAGAGAGCCCAAGGCAGCACGGAGGGAGCCCAGCACGGCATGAGCCCAGCATGGCATGGAGCAAGCCCAGCATGGCATGGAGTGAGCCCAGCATGATGTGCAGTGAGCCCAACAGGACACGCAGGGAGCCGAGCACGGCATGAGCCCAGCATGGCATGGAGCAAGCCCAGCACAGTGTGCAGTGAACCCAACAGGACATGCCACCAGCCCAGCATGGCATGAGCCCACGTGGCACGTAGCAAGGCCGGTGTGCTATGATCCCACTGTAGCATGTAACAAGCCCAACGTGGCACGTAGCAAGCCCAGCGTGCCACGAGCCCAGCATAGCACGCAGCGAGCCCAACGTGACACAAGCCCGGCGTGGCCTGCAGATGGCCCAGCGTGGCATCAGCGCAGCGTGGCACGAGCCCAGCTGGCCCGGCGAGCCTGCAGCTCGCCCAGCGCGGCCGGCAGCTGGCCCGGTGCGGCACGAGCCCAGCGTGGCATTCAGCAAGCCCAGCATGGCATGAGCCCAGCGTGGCATTCGACAAGCCCAGCATGGCATGAGCCCAGCGTGCCCGCAGCTGGCCCAGCGTGGCCCGAGCCCCCCGTGCCCGCAGCTCGCCCCCGGTGCCCGCAGCTCGCCCCCGGTGCCCGCAGCTCGCCCCCGGTGCCCGCAGCTCGCCCTCCGTGCCCGCAGCTCGCTCCCCGTGCCCGCAGCTCGCCCCCCGGTGCCCGCAGCTCGCCCTCCGTGCCCGCAGCTCGCCCTCCGTGCCCGCAGCTCGCCCCCCGTGCCCGCAGCCGGTCCGGCCCCGGCCGAGCCGCGCTCGCCGCCGCGTTGGGCGCAGCCGGCGCGGGGGAGGGCAGAGCAGCGGCCACTCCCAGGAACAGTAGTGAAATCTCCCCGACACTTTAACTGTCAATCAGGCTTAATGGGGTATAAAACCTCCCCAGCGCCGCGGCCGTGATCGGCAGAGAGAGCAATAGGGAGAAATGAGTAAGAGCCAGAGCTGAACTAGTGCACGGCGTAATTCCTGCTCTGTGATCAGACACTCCAAGTGAAAAAACCGGGAGAGGGGGCAGAGAGAGGCGGAGACCAGCTCAACCTTTGCAACCGGCTCAGGACAGAACGTCTATAGATATTTATAGATATAAAAACAAAAACAACAACCTCACCCTGAATAGAGCCTTTCTTAAAAAGAAGGTCCTGGCAATTCTGTCTTATTTAAGCAATTTCCTGAGTCTAAGAATAGAAATGAGCTGCCTGGAAGGCACTGCAGGCTGAAATTTGGAGACATAGGCTGCTTTATTTTATTTTTCCAAATATAAAAACCTTCCATTTGGATACTGGATTTTTATGTGGCTCTTTGCAGCGGAGGGATGTGTGGTTACTTTTAATTTTACTTTTTTTTTTCTGTTTTAATTAAAAAAAAAAAAAGCCTTCCAGTGGAAAAGCAAGGAAACCGTTTTACCTGCATGTGACAATCCCAGAGGACACCGACCAAGAAACAGGGGAGTGACTTGGTCTTCTGCACTACTTTACTCCTACCCCCTTTTTTTTATTTTTTTTTTTTTTAGGGGGAGAGAAGGATTTTTGCAGCCCAAGAACCTCTTGCCCCCAAGTTTTGGAAGGGGGGGTTGAAGACTTGTCACCCATCTGGGGGTGCACGAAGGGTACCGCTTTTCTTTCTGTGTCAACTTGGTTTTGTGGAGGTTTGGAAGAGAATTTTGCCTGGGAGAAGAGGATGATGTGGAAGTGGCTGGGCGCCCTGCTGCTCTTCCCGGTGCAGATGGTGTATCTGGTGGTGAAAGCTGCCGTGTGCCTGGTGCTGCCGCCCAAGCTCCGGGACCTGTCCCAGGAGAACGTGCTGGTCACCGGCGGGGGCCGCGGCATCGGTCGCCACCTGGCCCGGGAGTTCGCCAGGAGAGGAGCCAGGAAGGTGAGAGCATCGCCATGGAGGGGAGGGGGGAGCGCCCACCTGCTGCTCTGCCGGGGAGTCCCCCCCTTTCCCTCCCCTCCAGGTGGGATTGATGGGATCGCCTGGAAAAGCTGATGGAGAAGGGGCTCTCGTTCTGCAGAACCCCGGCGTGCTGAGCCATTGCATTGGGTACATTTCAGAAGTTGCCCGCTCCTCCTTCCCTGCATCCTGCCTTTCCCCCTCTCATCCAAGAAAACGTGACGGTGAGAAAGGGCCCCCTCGTGAATTCCCCTCTGCTGACAAAGGTTTTTGCCCCAGCCCAGGTTTCCCGTGGCAGGGAGAGGAGAGCCCTGTGACTCCCATGCTGGTTTCCTGGCAGTGCTGGGATCATGGACAGAGAGGCTGAGCCCACCCTGAGCCCTCCCGAGGCACAGCGACTGCCACTCCCACGCGTGTCACCCCAGAGGAGGGGGCAGATGACTCTGGGAGAGTGGGGACGACAGTTCCCTCTCACCCCGATGGGTATCCATGCACGAAATTAATTTCTTGTGCTTCCTGAAGCCCCTTGTATTTTGGTTTTGGGCAGCCCAGAGCTGCCCAAAGGGAAGATGAATGAGAACCCAGCAAGGAAGGAAAGCACAGCTCGAGTGGGAGCTGTGAGATTGTTTGCACGTTTCCTTTAGGAGAGAGGGAGAGAGGCTCAGGCTGGTGTGTCTGCACAGCAGCCCAGAAGAGCCAATGTAGCTGCCGTGTCCATTCTCTAGCTCAGGAACTGGTGGTTTACCTTGAAATGTGGTGTTTTCCCAAGTACAGGTGTGTCCATGTGTGTGCCTCAGTTAGGGATACAGAAACACACATCCCTGAAATGAGGCTTGGGATGGAAAAGTTTCATCTCCCCCTTGATGGGTAAAAGGGGAGGAATGGTGAAATTAGACAGCTGCACAAATACTTCTCTGTGTGAGAGGATGAATGAGAGTAAATACAGGATAGAGAAGAGGAAAAATACAGAATGAGAGGATATTTAAAGAAAAAAATTTGCATTTAGTTTGGGATAATGTTTTGTCACTTCCTTACACATGCATTACAGTTTTCCCTGTGTGGTACAGAGCTATTCTGGCATTCAACTCCGAGGTGTAAAATATGTCAGCATTGAACTTTGATGTTTGTCTATGTTTGTGTTTAAACATCATGTTGAGATTTACACATTCTGGGAGTCAGAGCAAACAAGTTGACTGACCTTTGGACCCAAGCAATTTGCTGAAAGAGTATTTATATTATCTGTTGGAATACCACGCTTCATTATTTATTTATTTAGGGCGGCTGGTTGCTATGCTGAGCTCTGGCATTAAAGTGCCACCATTTCTACAGCTCTTTCAAGAGCTGCTTTGCTGCAGTCGAGCTGGGAGCTGAACAATGGCTGTTGGCCCTGAGGAACCAGGGGACAGGGGCCAAAAAGAGATGGGGCTGTTTGGGAGAGAGAGCTGGGATGAAATCCCTGTAAACAGGCACAGACTATAGTTCATCTTATGTCTTATCTATAAAATCTCTACACATCTTAGAAGGAAGAATAAATGAGAGTAATGGTTGGGAACCTTTGTACTTGTTTCACATCATGTTGTGAAATGCTCTGTTTGCTAATTGTTGGTTAGAACTTTGGGGGGTTTTGCCTTTTGAGATATTTTCATGTCTGTCATCAAGGGGTTTTAAGTTTTTGCATTGACTCAATTTGAATTAGATTCTCCTTTCAGTTACATCCTGGCCATGCAGTGAGCCAAGTGTGGCACTCAGCAAGTTCTGATCCCCCTGGCAGTGGCACTGCCTGTCAGCCTTTGGTAGAAACACCAAACTCGACTTATTCTCCTTAACACTTTTAATGGCAATTTTACCTACATGTGGTAGTTTCCATTCCCATTGCTCTGAGATCTCATTTCTTTCCCGCCTTCTGTGCCCAACCCTGACTTTGTGGGTTTGATGCAGCCTCCATGGACTGAGCAAAACCTCTGCTTAGCACCACTCTTCGACTTTACACTTTGCCTCAGACAATCAAAAAGACATGAAAAAGACTTGAAGTGGCTACCAAGTCATCTTTTGCTAAGGCTTGTGAAAACTGACTATTCTGTTTTTCTCTTGTCTTTTCACCCCATTAACTGTTTTACAATTACACACAAAGCTTGAATTATTGATCACAATTAACAATTTATAACAGACTCTGATTACCGGACGGCGTAGCTACAATATTCTGAGTTCAGAAAAAGACATCCACCAAAGGCATGAAATTCCAGGGCCTGGCCCAGTGTCTCAAGGAGGTGGATGGCAGCAGGAACAGGCAGGTTCAGGTTCCAGCAGTGGGTGTGCAGCGTGTCCTGAGCGGGTCCCCCCGGCGCCTGCGCACACAGACATAGTGGCGGGGTTTTGGAGGTAGGCGGCGATATATAACCATATTTTTGAGATTAGAATCTCCACAAAGATAGGTTAGTTGGGACTGTGAGCATATGAAATTTCCTCTGGTAACTAGACTGGATGGGATTTCATCTGACACTCTCACAGAGGCTGGTTTTGTTACTCACAAGTGAGATGTGTCTGAGCCGTTTTCACGTGAGGTGACAAATGTCGCGTCTCACCAGGGTTAGGAATGGACACATCTGCAACTCTTTTACTGTAAAATTTGATCTTGCATTTAGAGCTATGAAGATGGCAACAAATAAATCCCAGAAGGGCTTATGCAAATGGAAATACAGTGGCTTCTGCTTGATCCACGAGCATGGAGACTGAAATTCTCAGTTAAGAGAATGGAATTCTCTTGGGCATGATCATTTAAATCCATCCAGATTCCCATTCTCTACTCCCATTTTTTATGTCCATTGCTCTGCCATTGTGCCTCGGATGTGACTTGGACAGATAAATGTCTAGGAGACATTTCCTTCTCAGGTGATGTTTCCTTTCCAGTGGTTGTTCGTTGGCCTCTCTGATGAAATGGCCAAGAAGGGCACAAAGCTGTGCCAGCTGGATTTGCAATTTTGGAATTTTCTGCTTTTTTCAATTAGCGACTTCGAGGCAATGAGAGACTTTAATCATTAGATCATCCCTGCTCAGGTGTATCCTGAGAGGTCAGAGGATCCATACTCCATTTGTAATTTCAAGTAGCTGTCAAGGACTACTTGGTCATGGGAGGCCTTGTGTATTGAAGTGCTTCCTGGAGCACTTCTGGAAAAAGCCAAGAGCATGTAAATGAGCTGCATGCAGAGCTGGAGTGGTTACAGATGATGCAGGACATGTTAGTGTTATTATGAGGGATGAACAGCCCTGTCTTTTCTCCGGAAATGCTCAAGTGTTGTAATTCAACTTCCCAGAGATGTGTCCAGATTCGTAAGTGCCGGCTGAGGAGCTACTTTGCTGTGGCTGAATTGCTGGAGAAATGAACTTTTCTGGCTTTCAGTTCCTTCTTGGTTGCTTGCAAAATTCATAATCCTCACTGTTGCTGGCTTTAACTCTTGAGAATTTTGACTGTACCTTAAAAGTCTCTGGGAGCAGAGCATCACCTCTGCCTCAGTCTCACACACTGGTAGCTCTGTCCAGGCTCAGAGCTGTGGATACTCTGTGAGCCAAAATGGCAGAGAATGTCTGTTAATGAAACAGGAGAAGGAGAGATTTTTATGAGTTTATGATTTAATGCCTATGAAATAAAAATCCACTTCCAAAGCCTAATGGTGTTTTGCAAAGACTGTACTGTATAATCCAGTTAATTTTGGGATGACTGGCCCCTTTGAACAGTGTTTCTTGTGTTGGAGAACAGCCCTCTGCAGATGTGAGCAGTCAGGGGGTGTGGGGGCTGAATGGGTTCATTCACTGGTGGGTACAGTGGGAAACTGCTCCTGGTTTCCTCACAGCCATTTGCTTTCCATACAGCATTTTCATTATAGTGCCTTTGCCAGGGAGTTGTCAGCCCTGGTTTTGATGGTCTCCAGTGCTGAAGTTTTGATTGATGTGTTTTTTGCATGTCATTTGTACGCCTTGCTCTTTTGTTAGGCACTACTTGAAAGCTTCTGCTTTGACAAATGATCAGAGATTGTTGTTGTTGTCTTGGTTTTATTTTCCTTATATTCCTCCTGAATTTGTTTAGGCTACAAAAATAACCAACAACCCTGAAATCTCAACTGTTCTTTCCATCATTATTTTCACAACATTTGTCAGTCAGACCTTCATGTCTGTATTTTGGAAGATCCCTTGTCATTTGGGTGTGCTGTCCTCTTGCAGTTCAGTGACAATTGGGGTGGTAAGAAGTCGGTGGAGGAATGAGCACCAAGGAAGGGATGAAAGCTGTGCAAGCCCACACTGCTCCTGAAACCTGGAGTGTCCCACAGTGCTCCACTATCTCCAACAGAACTGAAAACCCCAGAGGAATTGCAGGTGCCTGAGAGCCTTGTATAATTGGAGGGGTTTAGCTGTGTGAGATTTAAGGCTATTAATTGTGTTTAAGCTGAGAGTATTGCAGAGAGGTTACGTAAAAAATGGTGTCAGGTCTTAGAATTGAGCCTTGTGTTCCCAGTAATGGAAAATCTGGCAAGTTTTGAGATGAGTTTTACAATGGCACGCTCCTCCCACACAAACTGCATCTGTAGGTCTATGAATTTTTCACTTTGGTCTTTATGAATCACGTTGACATATTATTTCACGGATTTCACAGAATAATCTGAGTTGGAAGGGACCCACCAGGATCATCAGGTCCAATTCTTAAGTGAATGGCCTGTATATGATTGTCCTAGTCTGCAGGGATTAATATGTACCTTCTAAAAACTTCTTTCTAACACATACCACTGCTATATGATAAAAGATTAACTGCAATGTGACTAGAGCTGGAAATTAAATTAATACTGGTCTCCTGAAGTGAGGGCAAAGTACCAACACTGCTGCTGTTTCAGAGCTGTGACCTTTTTTGAGGTGTAGCACAAAAGCTGTGAGTATTTCACATGGATTCACTAAAAATTCGTATTCTAAAATGTCTTTTAAAATATTGGTCATTC